CTCCCCCCCCCCTGAATGCAGGTGTTTTTTCGTTGGTAGATCTCATTGAGCTTGTCATTTGAAACGTTGGTCTCCGAACGAAAAATTGTGGTCGCCACTGGCCTAGCAGAATGTTGGGGTGTACATCGTTCATGAGGAGCGGTGAGCAGAGCAGAGAAGAATCAGCTGATTGCAGTTTACGGATAAGAAACCCGGCCCTCTGAGACCCCGTTCACATTGAGCGATTTATCGCGCGGTAATTCCCGCGATATCGCGGCAAATTACCGCGCGATATCGCGCTCCAATGCAATCCAATGGGGTAAAGGGTCCTGCTGTAGCGGGTCGTGTGTCGCTACAGCAGGACCCTTTTTTGAGCGGATTTAGCCGCGATTCAAGCTTGCTCAATGCAAGCTTGAACGCGACATCGAGCGGCAAATCTCGCGATGTCGCGCAATATGCAAATCGCGCGACAAACGCCCGATTTGCATATCGCGCAGTGGGAACGGGGCCTAAGAGACGATTGAGTATCCTGTGGAGGGAATTTTGAATTTCTACGTCTCTGGCCTGTGAAAGAGTCTATTAAATAAAGTATGAAAAACAGCCCTGTGACTCCTGACAATGCACACACATATACATCCCCCCTGCACCTCCCATTACCACAAAAAAACTCATATCGCTTACAAAGGTGGAAATGCCCTTTTAGGTGGGGCAGCAGAGGGAAGGGTCAGTATGGGCAATTCCTAAATCTATATATCCTTACCACTGTTTCTGCTTTTAAAACGTGACCATCTAGTGCAGCGGTTCTCAAACTGTGGGTTGCGACCCCGTGGGGGGTCGAATGACGATTTGCCAGGGGTCGCCGCCCGGGAGAGAAACACTTTCTCCCGGAAAGGTTTACTCTGCTCGATCGAGCAGAGTAAACCTTTCCCTGCGATCTTTTTTTTTTTCTGACATCGGGGGCCGCTGACCACCGTAAGTCAGAAAAAAAAACCACCATAGGTATGCATAGCTAGATTCCTATTGGCTATTTCACTTTGCAATAGCCAACTAGCTATTGCACCCGCCCTCTGCTGCTGTCAATCAGCAGAGGGGGATCTGAAGTGATTCTGAAGGGATCTCCTAGTGATTGACAGCAGCAGAGGGCGGGTACAATAGCTAGTTTGGTATTGGCTATTGCAAAGTGAAATAGCCAATAGGAATCTAGCTATGCATTCCTATGGTAGTTTTTGTATTTTTTATTCCGACGGCTTACGCCAGTGGTTCTCAACCTGCTTGTCGCTGTGTGATTTCTGCTGTGCTAGGTGAGAGTCCTCCTCAGCCCTCTCCTAGCGCAGCAGTGTCAGTTCCCTAAATTTTACCATTGGGGGTCACCACAACTTGTCAAATGTTACCAAGAGGTCCCGGCCCTAGAAAGGTTGAGAACCACTGCTCTAGTTATGAAATCATTATTTCAGTCCTGCACTTCTTTTTTATTTTGTTAATGTTTCTGATTTTAAACTGTAACCACCACCCGTGTACCAATTTTTGATACAACGCACAGTGGAGATGTGGTGCTGATCGCAATGCACATGGTTGACCTGGAGATTTATTTTGTTCCAACAAAACTGAAATTTCATCTTCAGAAGTAGTAAATGTAGCTTCAGCCTTAAAAAAAAAGTTTCCCTTGAAAATTCAAATGATTCCTAATATAAAAAAAGAAAATATATTCATGCAACAGCAACAAAATCATTGAGCCGTGTTTTGTAAACAACAGCAGTGCACGGTTATAGGAAGCTGCAGATTCAGCGCGACACTGGCGGCCTCGCTTTGAGTCCAAGATGGCGGATATGAAAAGCCTCTATCTCCTCCGTGCACTGCGCTCTGCGCTGGCTCATCTCTAATAGGGGACTTTCACATCCCCTCGTGACCGGCGCGTCCTCGGTGTGTCATGTGACCTCAGCCGCCCGCACCGCACACTGACAGCATCCTGGTGAGCGTGTGCAGAGACTGGGGGGACAACTGCACTGATCAGGTACCTGGGGTGGGGTTTATAGGGGTACAGGGAGGAGAGGGGGGTGTTAGGGAGGTACCCACAGCAGCCTCGCAGGACTAGCAGGTCTGTGTCTATGATGTCATGGGTTCCAGATTGCTAATTTTTTGTAGGGTAGTTTATGGGAAGTTTGCTGTATGGTGAGCATAGAGATACAAGGCTGTAGTTCTGCTTCTGTATGCTCATAGGTATGCAATTTGCATGTGTGTGTATATATAACTATGATGAGGTCCTTGCCCTTTGTTGTTGTACACAAGTGTATGATGAATACGCTCTACTGCCTTATGCAAACTTGACATTCAGTTTTCCATTCTGTAAAAAAAACAAATTGAAGTAACTGTCCCAAATTTATTGGTGTACTTCTTCATGGAGCAAATATTAAAATGTATCTACAGACAAAACTTATTTTTTTGGGATATGTTTAAAAACCTCAGTCAGTTTATTTCTTGCTGTCTGTTTCCTGTTGGGGTAATTTCCCTTCACTTCCTGTTCTGGAGATGCAACAGGAGGTGAGAAGAGGTCCATGTTAGGTGAAGGCGAATGTCCTACTTAGACGGTTGTCACTGGTAAACACTGCGCAAACTGTTAGCGTTATAAATGCTGTAAAAGAGAGAAGAAGAATAACTAGTGTCCCCATTGGAGGATTTCTGCTCTATTCCTCTTCTGGTCACAACACTATTTTTGGATTTCCCGTAATTTTTTGTCTCATTGATGTTGGTCACCAGGACAAAGAAGGTGAATCTGCTCAGTGGTTGGAAAAAAATAAATATTGCTCCCCAAAGCTCAAAGAATTGGCTGTGCATACACTTTAGGGCCGGTGCACACCTAGGTGACACCTCACCGCGCGGCAATCGCGATTCTGCCCGTGCTTCCGAACACGATTGTGGCTAGAACAGCCACGCGTCGCGTATCGCAGAAAAAAAAAAAGGTACATGCACCTTTTTTCTGTGATTGCCGCGCGGATGTCACCCCATTGAAATCAATGGGGCAGCGCGGCAATCGCAGCCTGCATTGTGCAGGACGCGCGATCCCAGGTCGCGTAGGTCTGCACGGGGCCTTAAACCCCATTCGCACTGAGCAATTTGTAGCGCGATTTCCACTCAATCGCTCAGTGTAGCTCCTCCAATGCATTTCAATGGAGATGTTCACATCTTGCAGCTCAATGTCGCCTCTAGTTTGTGGCTGAAGCTTGTCGCTTGAACATGAGCTATTTTTTGGCAGATTTTGAGCAGTTTTGCCCCAATAGGCTTTGATAGACTACTAAAAGAAGCGCTACGTAGCGTGACAAAATGCGCACTGTAGCTCAATGACGCTCAGCTCAAATCAGCGCTGAAAAAGCTTGTAGCTCAGTGTGAGGCTAGGTTCACACCTAGGTGAGTTATTGCGCAAAACACATTCACATTGAAGTCAATAGAGGCTGCTCAGACCTTTGCGGTTTGTCGCGTAGACGAAATCGCCTGTGATGCAAAAAGGTGCAGGAGCTATTTTTGAGCGGTTGTCGCCCGGTTTGGGTCCCATAGGCATCTCTATGCATTGAGAACCACGTGACAACCATGCCGCTTTCAATGAACTGTCGCGCGACAATCGTGTGCGAAAACAACTCAGCATCTGAATGGCCTAGGGGGACTAGAATTCTCAAAATGCCAGTTCAGCAATGGCAGCCTCCCCAATTCTGTCATCAGAGTCCCTTTAAACACAACACTAGTTACTTATAATGAAAAGCGCAGTATTAATGCTTTTCAGCAAGGATGACTTATCTGCAGCAATGTAAAGGCCCATTCCTTCACACATATGCGTTGTGGCATTGAGCTGTAAAATGCACGTTTTACCGCAATGCATGCATGGAGTCCAAATGCACCTCTCCAGAGCACCGCAGCCCATGTTTGTGTCACCTGTGCGTTGCAGTGCACTTTGTTTGAAGAAAAAAAAATGGTGCGTGGAAACTTATTTTACAGCGGTACCTCGGTTCACAAACACTTCTGTTCGCGACCAGGAAATTTGGCAAAATGTTGCTTCCGTTTGCGAACTCCGCATCGGGTGAAGAACACAACCGCAGCCATCTTCCCCGCTCTGACACATGGTCGTGGCTTCCTCTAGTGGAGATTGCGGTCTGATCACAGTTTGATTCAGTTCGCAACCAGAATTAAAGTGACATTAAACCCTCAGATTTTTTAACATAAACCAATACTGTAATGTGTGCCTTACTGTAATCCATGGTTGTTTCCCTTCTCTTTGATGCTCTTCCTTTTAAATCCTCATGTCTTCTCATGCTTGGGGAGAACTTCCCTTTTCAGCTCAGGGCCTCTTCCTGTAGTGCTGGCTCAGGTTACAAGCCCATAGAAACGTATACACAGACGTGTATCCATTCCTCAGACAAGGCAGTCTGCTGCAAAACAGAAGTTCTGCCCAGCATGAGAACAGATACAGATTTAAAAGGAAGAGCAGCAAAGAGAAGGGAAACAACCATGGATTACAGTAAGGCACACATTACAGTATTGGTTTATGTTAAAAAATCTGAGGGTTTAATGTCACTTTAAGTTCGTGAACCGAGGTACCACTGTATTTGCCAGGCCAAAATAATTAGGCTTCCACAGCACAGCTTACGTCAACACACAAAAGCGCGTGCATTGTGTGTACAGGCCCCGAATATACAAAGTAAAAAAGATTGTTTTCAAAAGTTCTGCAGCAATATGGCCCAGCTTCAGATATGACCGGATCATTGGACCACCATAAAGATGGCTGTCTATGTGATAACATGAGCGCCATAAAACGCCATATCTGTTTTTCTTGCGAGTGGCAAGTATACGTAATTGCAATACAAAATTGTGCAAACAAAAGAAAAAGAGCCAGACATGCCTTGTGGACCCTGATCTTTTTATTACTGTTGTTGTAACCTCCAGATAATCCTGTACAGCCCCTGGGATGACGTCGGCCGTGGAGCGTACGGACGACCTGGTGAGAGAGTACCTCACGTTCCGAGGGTTTACCAGCACCTTGAAACACTTTGAAGCAGACATAAAGGCGGACAGAGAGAAGGGTTTCCGAGTAAGTAAGAATGCGGCGATTCTTAATCCTTTCATGGCCAGAGGTCATTGATGTCTAGATGCCCGCTAAACTTGATCACTTTTAGCAGCTAAACTTGATCACTGTGACTCATTTAAAAAAAAAAAAAAAGTTTTTATAAGGACATATACCGATTTTTTTTGGAACAATGTTTTCATGATAACCCTGCTCTGGTTTTTCTTAATAAAAGCTAACAAATGCACCAAATTGTAAATCATTTACCAATTTTTTTTTCTACTTTTAAAATTCTTTTGGTATTTTTGTTTATTCAGTAATTGTGCATGACAATTGCAGTATTAAAGAGGTGGCACTGTAGATGCCACTGCAACCTAGAGGTGGCAGTGTTTATCTGCAGGCTAAAAGCTTTTATTTTTAAATAAAGTCTGCCCTGTACCCTGCATGTCATAGCTGACTTGGTGATCACAGAATTGTGAACCGGATATGACATGTGAAGTATGCCAGCGCTGACTGCATTGCGATCGCCGGCACCCGAACGCGTGGCACATTAGTGCTTGCGTTCCGGTCCAGTGCGATCTGCAAAAAATGCTGCAAACACTATTTTTTGCAGATTGCCGCCACGCCCCCCAAAAAAGTGAGCCGGCTGGGTTGCGTTTCAGTGTGTTCCAGAGGCTGAACGCACTGGAGCACGCTCTTGATGGTGTGACTGGGCCCTCAGTGATAACATGAAGCACTTGAGGAATGCTGCATGCATGCACTACTTTTTTTCTGTTCTGGAACGCACCAAAACACATAAAAAATGCATGCAAATGCACTGGGGCGCACTGGACTGCACCTGAAAGCCCATTTTAAGCTATAAAGAAAAAAAACCCCACTAAAACGCGTCAAAAGCGCACTGCACCGCTTTTGCAGATTTGTTCCAGATCTGGTCCGGATATGGTGTAAACAAGCTGACAGAGAAAGAAGGGATTTAGAGCCTTCAGCCATGCAAAGTGTTGGCTGGTGACTCTCAGAGGGGGAATGTTTGCAGCCCAGGAGGGGTTACAGTACAGATGCAGCCAGAATTGTTATCAGCTATGATGGTTCAAAAGCTTACAATTCTCTTAGGATAGTCATGTGACTACACAGCACTGACTCCATGTTTTCAGTTACAGAGAATTATGGAAAGAGGTATAAAGGGATCCGCCATGAAGTTTCTGCACCTCTATTCTCCTGCAGGCTAGTCATGTGACTACAGATTGCCAGTTCTGCATTTACAGTTAAAGCTGCAATGTATAACATTATTGTTCTTGGGGTTACATACACTTTCATTAGTTGGATCAATGCTGAGCACAGGAACTATGCTTTGCAATACTAACTAAAAATGAAACTAACCCACTGCAGATAGCTGGTAAATCCTAATGTATGTGTGGGTGGCACCTTACATACCAGGCTTATAACTATAATTAGATGTGATAATAACTGTGCATGCCAAATATATTCTTCCAATTGCAATGTCCTGAGTATAGTAAACTATGTCATTGCGAATGTCATTTTCAAGTTGTTTGTTTCCATTATTTCAAATATGGAACTTTCATAATGATTAACCTTGTAATCCTGCCATGGCGGTCCTTGCTTAGACACCTCTGTCATGGGGTGACAGTTGTCTCCTTATTGCGCTCCGGTGTTGTCACCTTGTCACACACCTCACTTCATTGGAGACTGTGAACAATCATGCTGACATTCATTGTGCAGGCGTGGTCCACCCCTGCCATCATGAGAAACCTGGTGCAGAGCAAGGATGCACAGCTGATGATGTGGTGAGTGCATGTAGATAGGAAGTGGCTGAAGGAGGCTGCAGGAGATCAGCAGCATTGAGCTATATCGAAGTAGATAAAAAAATAACAAAAGGTTTAAAGCAGAACTCTGGGCAAATCAAATCTTAACCCTCGAAGTGCGGTTACCCCCGCACTACAAGGGTTAAATGCTCGTTTTGTCTAGGGCTCACTCGAACCACGATCCCGGCTTGCTCTTACACCGCTCCTTCGAGCCCACCTCCTCCTTTGCTCCAGCGATGGAATGTCGCACAGTGTCCCCACATCGAATACACTGTAATAGACGTGATGATTCACAGGACCTTAGACTGCTGGAGCAGAAGGGAACAGTCTAAGAGCAACCAAGCTTCGCAGAATCTGGTGAGTATAACTTTGTTTTTTTTTAACCTAGACAAACACTAGCACTTAACCCTTGCAGGGTAGCCCCACTGTGAGGATTAGGATTGGATTTGCCCGGAGTTATGCTTTAACCCAAAAACTTGGCACATGTTTAATACTCCGTGCGTGTCATCAGTCATCATTCAGGGCAGGGGTATCCAAACTCCGGCCCTCCAGCTGTGGTGGAACTACAAATCCCATGAGGCATTGCAAGATTCTCACAGCCACAGACATGACTCCCGGAGAGAGATGCATCATGGGATTTGTAGTTTCACCACAGCTGGAGGGCCAGAGTTTGGACACCCCTGATTTAGGGTTTACATCCACTTAATCCTTCCTGTTAATGTTTTTAGCGTTTGTTGTTTTCTTTTTTTATACATTAAACTCAAAGCTTTGTGGAAATATTTTTTTGCCCAAAATCTGCTCTTCTCTTTCTGTAGGTGGACAGGATTGTGGAGCAGCTGCTGCAGTTTATCCAGAGTTATGACCTGAATGGGCTTCTGGATTACTGGGGCTATCTGGAGCGTCGCCTCTTCAGCAGATTGGAGGATGTATATCGGCCAACCATCAACAAGCTGAAGACCAGCCTGTTCCGCTATTACCTTGTCTGCACAATACAGGTAGTAGGCATTTCTGCATATGACAGAGCAATGACATTATGGTGATTGGGATAGCGTGACCGTGCATTGGACAAGGTTGTTACAACAGCCTCCCTGTTAATGGCAAACAATTGGTCATATGTAGAATGTGGAAGGAATCTTCCAGGGGAGTTCTGTAAGAGCATTGTCTGGTTCTCTATGCAGTTCTTTATATTCTATTTGCACAGTGATTTGCCAGGCCATGCACTAAATGGTGAATGTTGGGATAGAGATTGTTCCATTGTATGCTATCTCATCTGGATCAATTCCAGTCAGGACTGGCCCAGGTGATGTGGCTTTTTCACTGTAACCGCAACATAAAAGCTGCTGACGGGAATAAAGCTCCGGTACCTAGAGGTGCTTGCACATACCTGCAGCAGCTTTTGATGTACCAGCTCGGCCCTAATGCCTGGACCTTTTGATTGGGCCAAGATCCAACACTTGCTTATAATGCAGACACTTGTCCACTCCCTCTTGCTTCCCACAAGTTTCTGCTGGCCAATGATGCAGCCAGTCATAGAGATGGGCCAATAGGAATGTATTGGGGTGGGAGGGAACAGGCAAGCTTGTACACTACTAAGTGTTGAAGCGTTTTCCGATCAGAACAGCCCGGTTTTGGGTGAAGTGGGGTGCTAAAAGCTGCTGCGGAGATGTGCAGGTAGCTCTAGGTGCCTGCTTTTTAAACCCGTCAGCAGCTTATTTGTAGTTCAAGTTAGAGAGTCTGAGCCGGAGTCAGGCTCTTGCTACGTCTGATACCAAGGACCCAAATGCCTTCAATGATGTTGCAACACTGAAAGCAGCATTGAGTTAACTCTTGCTGCCTTTTTTTACATATGAATGGTTGGGACAACACTTTGCTAGACTACATGGTTCTTTGAACACTGTCTACAAGCAGGTAAGGGCTCTTCTTGAGCATTTTTTTTGGAAAATCCCCAATCTTGCCCATTCTGGAGTGAGCACACTTTTACAAGTCTCTCTTATAGCAACAGATAATGATAATATGTATAACTGTCTGTGTGCTGTCATTGGCTTGCAGAGCAGTCGGACAGACAAAGCACAAGACTTCTTCCAGAAACAAGCGCCAGAGCTGCAGAACCAGGCTGAGTGGAAAGAATGGTTTGCTCTCCCATTTCTCCCAGCACCCGATGCCAATCCAACCTTCTCTACATACTTTTCCCGACAGTGGGCAGACACCTTCACCGTATCGCTGCACAACTTCCTGAGCGTCCTTTTCCAATGCATGCATATCCTTTGTCAGGAAATGGTTATGGAAGATGAGTCACGGGAGTGCTGTCCACTGGTCACATGCCTTGCTGATTTTTACAGTGGTTATCTATCACATCTTTTATATCAGATGCAGGGAAGTGTTTATAACCTCAGTCAGCTTTTCTTTTGTTCTCACTGTGAAGATTTGCCTTCTCTTTTTGTCCTGGTGACCGTTGTTACTGAGACAGAAAAATTCAAAATTTAACAGTTGTTATCAGAACAAGGGGTGAAGGTAAATCTTCCAATGATGACACCTAATGTCTGAGGGAATTCCTTTTCAATCTGTAGATATTTCCCCTCGCTTTGTTCCGCCATGGCCACATTATGATGGTATAAGAAAAAAGCACACAGACAGTAATAAAAAAGCTGACTGGTTTTAACCCTTCCCCACTATCAAATAAAAAAAAAAAAAGTTCCACTTCCAAAGAAGATCAGCTTAAAGTGTATAAGCCATGGTCAGTATTAGAAACATTGCAAGTGTAGCCAGAGGAGAAGTAAAGGGTGGATGGGGTGACTGTAGCACCAAGCTGATCAAATTTTTTTTGGTTACCAACCAGAGGGTTTTTATTCTGTTCAGCCAGTCTGTTAGGTGACACCACTATTTTTTATAATTCAGCCTTTAGTAGTTTACTGTGTCAGATTCCTGAAAATTTGGTATTTGAATCTCCAGCGATGATACTAATTGTCCAGTTATCACACACCACAATCACACACACTGCACAATGATGTTGTCCTCCTGGCTATACAGTGTGTTAGGGTGGTGTGAATCATAGGACTGCCTGAAAAACATTACAAATCATTTGGCAGGTAAAATATTTCTCATCTGTTTAGTTAGATTCTTGCATAAAGTTCCCTTGAAGACTCGCTCGTTTATGCTGATTGACCATTTTAGATGGCCAGTCAGTTTTCCTCCATTCAACATGATCACACTTGATGCTGTCGACTCCTTCCCATCCCCAAATCTTTGTTGGCATGGCCAGAATAATGGCATTGATCAACACATGGTCAAACGTAATGAAAGTCTACACACTATGGTTGGGCTGCAACCAACTAATCGATTATGAGAATAGTTGTCAACTATTCTCATTATCGATTACTTGGGGAGGCGGGGGGAGAACAAAGGTTTTTTTTTAACGCAACTAATCGATTAATTGAAAAAATTATCGGGCAACTAATCGATTATGAAAATAATCGTTAGCTGCAGCCCTATAATATGGTGAATTGTATAGATAACTAAAGTTAAAGTGACACTAAACTCAGGAGTTAAATCTTAAAAATGCATTCAAGTACCTTAACTATTAACAAAAAAAAATTCAGAGACAATTTGAGGATCTACTGCTGACACTGTCCTTCCTTCTGGAAGGGTGGCTACTTTTGTTCCCCATGGTCCCTGTGTGTGTTGTAAAGTAGCCTCGACTCCAAGCTCACTCCTGTGATGGACTACAATCTCATGTTTAGTCTACTAATTTCAGATTGTAGTCCATCACAGGAGTGAGCTTAGAGCGGTGACTACTTTACAACACACACAGGGACCATGGGGAACATAAGTAGTCCCCCTCCATAAGGAAGGACAGTGTCAGCACCAATTCGGAGATGATTTGAGAATCTACAGCCGAGTGATACACAAATCGGATACATTTTTGGTAATAGTTAAGGTACTTGAATGTATTTATAAGATTTAACTCCTGAGTTTATTGTCACTTTAAATATTTCATCTTCTCTGCACTCCATAACCCCTCATTCTTTTATCACTTTACTTTCCTTAACCATGTCTGCACCTGCCCCAACTATTCTCTGTTTTGACGCCGAGTGTCAGAGAATTCTACACATCCAGGAGGAGAACGAGTCACTGAGACAAAAGGTCAGTGTGTGGTGAACCAATTGGAAAGAAGTGTTTACTTATTTCACAAAGTTGATTTCCAGCATCAGGTGGATAGTTGTGTCACCAGTCTCTAAACACTTCACAGTACAGCCTTACTCATTAGTATAGAAGTGTTTCCAGATCTGTGCTTTTCCCAGAAATGATTCTCATGAATCACTTCTAGCTGTTACAGGCAGTTGAAGAGACACGTACCATGTTAGCCATCAATTAATGCTGAAACATTGGTGTTTTAGTGATACCCTGTATTTCTTATGTTAACATGCTAGCTTTTAGAAATGATCTAGATCCCGTCTTCATGCTTTGCAATTCTGAAAATGCCTGAAAGCCACATATTTATACATAGATGCGATAGAAGTATTTCAAACATTACAACTATTTTTTCCTGGTACACTTGAATAGTAATGGCTGTTATAGAGATCGGTATAAGAAAACGAGAGTTCGTTTTGTGAAGTCTTTAAACGCTTTACAATAGAGCCCTGCCCATCAGTGCACACGTGTTTCAGTTTTTACCAGGATGCATGCCTCCTTCGTTGTCGTGACTGTCGCCATCTGTGTCCTCAGGCAAGCCATCTTTGTCACTTTGAGCTTGCATTCTTTCCCAATAGGAGATTTTGTTTGCACTTCTTTGCTTTACTAGACTTTGTTTCAAGTCACAGTGTTAAGAAATGCTGTGAATTGTGTGCTTGACACCCATCTCTCTGTTTTTCAGCTCTTTGCTCTTCAGGCAGAAGCTCACAGACTGAGAAAAGAAAGTGATGACAGCCCTATGGTGCATCACAAGCTGCCTCACTATGTCTCTAGTATGGACCGGCTGGGAGACTCTGAGCTGTAAGTGAAATACTGGAGCCAGCTGGAAGTCTAGTTATGTAGTTCTCCTTTGACTAACATATCACGTAGGACATCAGCCTCAGTCCCTGCCCCCAAGTGCGCTTAGTCTTATTTCACTAATACAGATGCAAGGACACACTAGGCCCAATTGATATATTCATCTGCCTGCCTGTTTTGGATTGTGCAAGAAACTGAAGCTCCTGGGAGAAATACTGAGATACATACAAGAAATATAGACAGCAACCATAGTACAAATTGAACCCTAGGCACCAGTGCTACAAGACCACCATGCTAATCACTAGCAAACTGCAGATGCTTCCTAGAGGTTTTAATGGTTGTTCAATTTTTTATCTTAGCAACATGGTATCTAGTCAAAGAAATGCCGGATCAACGGTCCAGTCGCAAAAGTCCTCGGGATTCCTCTCCTCCTTGCTCCCGCAGAGTAAAAAAGCCGCACCGTCCAGGCCTCTGCCGGCCTCTGTATCCTCACCGACACAGAGTTCCACGGCTCTGCCCCTCAAGAAGGAGCCGGTAAACAGTCAGGTAAGATCAGATATAAATACCGTGTTCCTCCACTCCAGTTATTTGGGGACTCTAATGCTAACCATAGATTTGGGTCATTTTGTTTTCTTACATTTAATGAAGTAACACTTCAAGTCAACCTGCTCTCAACAGTTTGGTTGAAACAGAGTGTTGAAATTGCTTGAAAATTTCCCCAGTGGGTGGTTAGAATAATAGTCTGTATTTTCAGGCTTCCATGTTGTTACAGAGGTGCATTAACCCCCTGCAACCTGTAGATTAACGTTCCTCAGGATGATGCTCCAGGTTGAGGGAGCAATAATCTACATTCTATTTTGATGGCCAGGTGTGTTTAGTGCTGTGTGCTCCTAGCTGTGACACTTTCACTGACCGCTCCTGGTCTCTGCTACCGATCAGGAATCGGTCCGTGTGATTTCCAATCATGTGATTACTCTGTCAGCTGTGATATGATCACATGATTTTGTTAGGAAGTGGGTGACAGCTGCTGGTTGTGCACAAAGAAAGAAATCCTTTTTTTTTTCCCCATTGTTTGTCAGCCTTTAATAATAACTAAGTGGCATATTTATTAAACTGCTGTACCAAATGAGGGCCTTATGTGCCCTAAACAAATATTAAAAATGATTTAGGTAGGCCTTAGGAGGGTTAATGCCAACTTAACCAAGTCATGCTGACCCTGCTTTGTTTAGTCTGGGCTTCCAGGCATCAATAACTTCTGATTGCGGAAAAAAGTTATTTATTACCATTTGCAGGAAGTACAGATTTACATGCTATGCAGCCTCCCTAGCATGCTCAGATGTGTGAAGGTGCTGTGGGCTTGTAGAGGACATTGTTAGAACCAAATAATTCTCTGCCAGAATTCTTTGGTTCTTTGGGGTTTAGAGCTATTCAGAAGATGAAAGTGGTAGAATAGGATATAATAAAAGTATCAGAATAGCAATATAGTTGTCAGTGCAAAACATGCACAGGAGAGCACATAATGAAAATGAGAGCCAGTCAGTGGATACACTGGGGGGGAATTTATCATAACTGGAGGAAACAGAATCTGGAGCAGTTGCCCATGGCAACCAATCAGCATCTCTCTTCAGTTTTGACCAGGTAAGGTTTGAAAATGAGAGCGAGGCTGCAGTGCACATCTGCTCCAGATTTTTTCTGCTCCAGTTTAGAAGATAAATAAATTCCCTCCACTGTGACCCCGAAGTGGTGTTAAACTTGTCATTTTTGATTGGAGTGCATCATTAAATAGAATGGGCACAGCCACTTTGCTGTTTTATTGTATTGATGGTTTAGTATTCTGTCACTATATCATGATATAAGTATGCAATAATGAGGGATTTTCCTCTTTCTAGGCCCAGAAAACTAAAGAGGTGCTTAGCTTACCTAAGGAGGTGAAGAGTGTGCAGAATGTTCTTGGTGTGCCCAGCGTCAGCGATCCCACTGTAGTGTTACAGAGACAGCGACGGCTGCAGGAGAGGAAAGAGCTCCTCTCTAAGGCACAGTCTCAGGTGAGCAAATATCATCTGTACCTAACTCCTTAGGCCCCATTCACACTAAGCGACTTACCTTTAGCAGCGGATTCGTGCGGCCGGGATAGCGGGACTGTTCGGGCGACTATCCAGCGACGGTAGCGCGACCTTCACCGTCGGGCTGCATTAAAAAATAGTGACATCCGCCGAAAAAAGGGTCCTGCAGGCGTGATTGCGACGGATGACATGGAGCTCTACATTAAGACCGCTCCATTGAAAATCATTGGCCGACGACTTCTCGCGATATCGCGCGTCAAAAATGCACGATATTGCGGCGAAAATCGCGTGGCGATCAGCTTAGTGTGAATGGGGTCTTAGTTGCTGCTTTTCGAGCTGTATCGTAAGCTTCCACACCATTGCTGTTCCCAGATATGAACACAATGCTGCATTCAATGAAAAAAAATGTCTGAGCCATATCAGGAAGAGAAAATAACTCTGACCCAATGATACATAGACTGTTGTGTGTGTCACTGTGCATTTTAGAGGTATGGGGTAGTCTTCAGGTAAGCTTGCTGTGAATTAGATTAAAGATTAACCACTTTTTGCAGTGACACTTTGCATTGGTGTGTATTTTACATGCATATCTGCAACTGTATAAAACTGGGTCCCCAGTTTTTATTATGGCTGCACTCTCAGCAAGGTGTATATTTTACATATATATCTGCAACTGTATAAAAATGGCTGCACGCTCAGCAAATGGCTTTATACATAATACTTGTGCAATACTTTTAACATAACCGCGTCGCCAAACGTAGGGCATGTATCAATGGGCTTTGGGCTTGTGTTGATGGCATTAGTTTGAGTTGATTCTGAAATCATTCAGAATTGATTGACAGGTGCATTTGACCTGCAGTTAACCTACTTTTGAACTGCTCGGAGCGGGTTTTGCATTTCCATAGACTTGTAAAAAAAAAAAAGCAAAACCCGCTTAAAGCGAGCATAAGCCCGTCTTACAGAAGCACTTAAAGTCATGATAAAAGTTGCTGTATTAAACGGAAACTGCCACCCTAAGACTCTCCGCAATCTGTCGCTCACTAGAGTGTGGCTCCACTGCACTCACTGGATCTGGTCTCCGACCCCTACATCATAACAGGACACATTAGTAACATTGGGGTTGGCTGAAGGAACCACTAAGACCAGCAGTTCAATATTCCCTGGAAGTGTTGGTTTTTGAAGAAACTTCATCCAAGTATTTCTCTGCTTTGGAGCAGCATTTGCTTGCAAAGGCAGCAGAAGAGGTAGATATTCAAATTTTTCTTTTCAGTCACAACTATTATCAGGACTTGAACTTTGGTAACAGGATTCTTGTGATTCAGGCACCTCTGGGAGGCAGCCCTGATAGATCGACGACCTCCCTTTTCACCATTTTGGTTAAGCAGTACAGCTTTGTCACCAACCTACCCACAATCAGTGGCTGTGACTAGGCAGGTAATCAAACACAGCACGTTGATGCTGTTTAAAATGTTTGCTGACAACGCTGTGCAAACCAATAGAGCTCTGATGAACTGTTTTATATCGGGGCACGTTCACGCTTAAGAGTGAAGGATGGATAAAGTACAGTGTTGTACAGCTAAGAGTGTGGGTGAAGACTCTTCGTTGTACAGCACTGTCTATACATCTCTGCATAGGCAAGTTAAATTGTGTATTTCATTCTTATAGCAAAGCACAGAAAAAAAGCCTGAGGTGTTGGAGCCGGAACCTGAGCTGCGATCCTCTGAAACCCAACAAGACATGATGGATGCATTAATGAGGATTGTTGGGGAAAACCGTGCAAGAGGAGAGAAACCCGAGCAACCCTTCATAGTGCTGAGCCAGGACGAATATGGAGAGCACCATTCATCCATAATGCATTGCAGGTAAAAGCTTTGTCCCTGCATGTGACTGCAGTGATAAGTGTGAAGAGCTAAAGGCCGGTGAAAGAGCTAAATACAGTTAAATACAGCATTTAACAGGTAAACCTCTGATATTCTGTACAGCCACTTTTGTGGTTCACACAACCCTAGCAGAAGAAGACGCCGTTCAGAGTTCTCATTCAGAGTTGAGAAGTACAGTGAAAATATCTTCCGGCATTTGCACTAGATTTGTGTGTGTGTGTGTGTGTGTGTGTGTGTGTGTGTATAGATAGATAGATCTATGGATACATCTATAGATATAATTTTTTTTTTTTACATTTTCAAGATCTTCAGGTCGGTCATGTAACACACTGGGTCCACTTCCTCTCTTCTCCCAGTGGTGGGTAGTCCTTCATGCAGAGATTGGCGCTGACTTTTTGACGTTTGCTCGGTTCTTTGCATCATTGTTTGTGAGTTCAAGGCGCTGTGGTAACACCACTTCACTCACAGTTACAAGATGTTCTCAGTCTTTTAGTATTCAATGCATAATTTTGCACCATTTTCACACAAGCCCTCCAGCGTCATCCAGCCCAATTCCTTGTGCATCATTCAATGCAGAAAACTGAGAACATCTAGTGATGCAAAAGAATTACTGCGGGGGGACAGTGCCAGAAAGTATTGCAGCCTTATTTGCTTTTTTTCTTTTTCTTCAGTGGTAGAGCTTGTAAGTATACAGTATATGTATGTTTTATATGTATTTTTCTCTGCAGATTGGACAAGACTGCATACATTTATTGAGGCAAATTGAAAAAGTTTGTTTGTCCTGGTAGTTAAAATGATTCACTGTTCCTTACCATAAAATCCTACTCTTTGTTTTGAAAATGCATGCATCAATGTGGGTTGCATTGCTGCTTTACAGGCTCTTTCAGATGACCTAAAGTGACACAGTTAAATCCTAAAAATCCATTCAAGTACCTTGACTATTAACAAAAATGTATCCTCTTTGTGCATCACTCGGCTGCAGATCTTCCAATCATCTCTGAATTGGTGCTGACACTGTCCTTCCTTCTGGAGGGTGGCTACTTTTGTTCCCCGATGGTCCCTGTGTATGTTAAAGTAGCCACCGCTCCAAGCTCATTCACGTCCTGGACTACAGTCTTGCGTTTAGTTTAATAATTTGTATTGAGATTGTAGCACTTGAATGCATTTATAAGATTTAACTCGTTAGTTTAGTTTAGTGTCACGTTAAATAGAGCATAGCACATTATTGGTAACCTACCCTAATGTAAGTGACCCATTTTCTCATGGCGACGCATTTTGTTTACATTGAAAAGTGAAGGTAAGTGATTGTGACAGTGCATCCAATAAAGTGTTGTGTCTACCCAAAAATTTGAATAACACCTGAATTAGCTTGTATTTAGCATGCTAACATAAAAAAACGACATCCACTAACAATTCCTGTATTTCTTTCCTGCAGGGTGGATTGCTCGGGAAGGAGGGTAGCCAGTTTGGATGTTGATGGCGTGATTAAAGTGTGGTCCATCGATGGCATCATGCAGACCAAGGCATCTGTCATCTCCAAGTCCGCTTTGCTGTCTCTGGAGTGGGCAACAAAGAGAGACAGACTGGTAAGTGTGCAAGAGTTTGACTATGAGCCTCGCTGTTAATGCCATAATGAACATTTAGTTTAAATCCGCTAAACAGGTTGCAGGTTCATAAAAACAAAACGTGTTACAGCCGGAGTAGAAAAGCCTGTCCCCTGTCGGCATCCTGCAGAGACGGACCCTTGCTCTTTGTGTGGAAGCAGCAGTCTCTGTGCAGAGATCTGAAAAGCCTCCTGCCAAGTCAGAGCTAAAACTTTCCAATCAGCAAAGTTCTTCATCTAGGGGTGTGTTGGACCTCTGCAGAAAGACCTCTGCTTCCACACAGAAAGGATTAAAGCTATTGCATGCTAGCAGGGTACAGGCTTTTTCTACTTGGGTTTTGGCTGCTTTGTAAAGAAAACAAACTATAAGACTTTGTACACATTTTGATGCCTCTCCTAGAATGTATTTAGCTGAATAAAATGTAAAAGTTTAAGTTGAGCTTTAAAGTGCACATTTACTATTATTTAGGTTGCATTGCCTAAGGAAATGTTAAGGAGAGGCTGAAAACAAAATCAAATCCTTGTTTTGTAAGTGATTATTCTGCATGCCTGCACAGTCTGATCACAACATTCCTGTGGATGGAGTATATCCGTGAATGTTGGGTGACTGCTAGAGATAAGCCTGGGCTTGGTGTTAACCCAGCTCACCTAAGCCAGATAAAATGTATAACTGACACCCCCTCTGCCCGAACCAGTCAGCTGCAAAGATGCTTATTCCCTGCCCTGAATACCCCTTCCACAACTTCCACATCTAATTGGGTTGGGAAGAGAGGATGGCAGTCACAGTTTTGAGCGGGCTTGGGCGAACTGGGTTTGCATCAAGCTCCTCTACTGACCACCACTCATTGGCCAGTCCCTCCTAAATGTCAGTCCACAATATACTGTAGAAGAACATGTGAAATCAATGCCTCAGCCCTGGTCACATGACATTTTAGTAATTTGAAAGTAATTTCAATATTTAAAAAAAATGGAGCTTTCAATAACATATAGAGTAGTGAGTCTGCTATGAAGGTTCTTGTTCAGCCATGTTCTGTATAGGGTGACCACACTTTATGCCATGTTATAACCATCAGGAAACACACCTTATGACTTGCCATGCAACCATCGATGGAGTGCATGTGGACCGCAAGTAGCTGCAGTAGATCAGCACTAAGAAGCAGCAAAGGATGAGCAAAGTATTTAAGAAATGGCAGTTGTGATGCACATGGCAAACTAAATGCCATCTAGTTATTGATGACAGTTAGGGTCTTTACCGAATATGTATTTTTTATATTATGAATGTTTTTCATGCTTTATTTATAAAATGTCATTAGTGTTTCAGTGGAAAGGGTATTTTAACGCTAAATGCAGAATCCAGGGAGATTTCTGGCTCATGCTCTTGTAGCATTGCTGGTGTTCCATGTCTTCATGTCACATTACACCAAGTGCTGTCATTTTGGATCACGGCTTGAAAATCAACTTCTTTAAATCCTGTTTTTCTTGTCCTTCTCTGTTGCAGCTGTTACTGGGCAGTGAGGTTGGTACCGTCCGCCTGTATGACACAGAAGCAAAGAAAAACTTGTGCGAGATCAGTATTGTTGAGGATATGCCAAGGTTAGTGTTTTTTGTAACCTCGACGATTTTCTCTACACCTTTGGGTTATTTGATACTGTGAGGGTAAAGTGGAAGTGTCTTTGCAAAGGTGCCCCCCTGATACTTACCTTACCAGTGCTCCCCCTGGACCCCTGATACGTACCAGTGGTCCACAGCCATTTCTTCTGCCTCAACCATAGGAAATAACCAGTGCTTTAAGGTATAGTGGATGGTGCGAGCTCTTCCCCTGTAACACTGCTGAGGTCTTGTAGCCAATTGATAGGTCGGAGCACTGTTGCATGATGGAGAGAGGCGATATCACCAATGTATATGCAGGGTGCAGTGTTACTATCCCTATGCAGATTTGTAAAACACTGAACATTTGTGTATGTGATGGTTGATGTACTTTTATTAGAATCAATCCCAGACAGAAATGTTTGTCATCTCAGGATCCTTTCCCTGGCATGCAATCCCAACGGGACTTCCTTTGTATGTTCGGCGGCAGCGGTGTGCTCGCCCACTCACATAGAACCGTCAGTCTCTGGTTTAGGGGAGAATGGAATCAACCAAGTGCCGGGGAGATTACTGCTGTGGGATACAAAAACCATGAAACAACAGGTAAGGCTAGCTTCCTGCCGTTACTCAAATTGTTTTGACAACTGAAAGTCCAAATTAATTAACGGAAATAGATATTTATTTTCTGCAGCTCAGCTCTGTTGTCATTTGTTTTTGTTTTTTCCGGTAGCATTTTTTGTCACACTTTTGCTCTGGGCCCCTGCGCTACCAATCTATTGCGCTTCCATTTGGGCTCTCTCCACCTCTGGCCCCAGTAATAGCCCTGATGAGCTCTTGTAGCATTCCGATTGTGGGATACTTAGAGCCCATGCTGACTGTTCCCTTAACTGGAGGTCGTCTATCAGACGACATGACATTGACCATCTAGACATTACAGTTATTAGGATGGATCCTGAACCTTCAGAAATTGTCACTAGAACCGACTCATTGTTAGAGTATCTGGGTTTCGTCCTGGATATACGTGGACCTTGTGGTTTAACCCCTTCATGACTGAGGCCCTTTTTTCCATTTTTGCACCCATGTTATATTCCACATTTTAGGCCTGAAAATGACGTAAAACCCCCCAACATTATATATTTTCTGAATGCCAAGACCCTATAGAATAAAATGGTGGTAGTTGAAAATTTTTATGTTGCGCAATATTAGCGCAACTCCTTATTAAACCCCAAAATTTAGTGACAAATTTAATTAAATGCCCCAAAACACAACAAATTATTATTAGATTTATTTTATTTCATTTTAATTTTAAAAACAGTTTTTTTTTTGTTTTTTTTACTTTACTTTGACTGCTATCACATGGGGGTAGCAGTCAAAGTCCCCCCCATGTAATAGCAGATGGTGGTGACAGGTCCTCTTTAAGGTGATGCTGGGGGTCCAAAAGACCCTCAGTGTCACCTTTACACTGGAAATAAGCTATTGAAGTGCAGATCGCACTTCAATAGCTTATAGCTGGGCTGCAGGAGCCCAGAACTGACAGCCCAGGGACCGGAAGTGATGCAATCTGCATCGCTCCCGGTCCCATAGAACGGGGAGGGGATCGATGAACGGAAGTTCGTCGACCTCCTCCCCAGCTCCCCGCGGACACAAAGATCGCCGGTCCCGGGCCCGTAGGAGGGGCAACGGAGCCCGGGAAGCACGGCGGGGGTGTCCGGCGGGAGGGGCGGCCCCTTCTTCGGGACGCAGAAGCGATCTGGCGACAGGTAAGTCGCCAGGATCGCTTCTGTTGTAAAGCCGACAGTCGGCTCTACAAGTTTAAACAGAGTCCCGGCGGCAAAAGTCGCCGGGAGTCTGTTTAAACAGCCCCGATGCTGGCGACGTACACTGTACGTAGTCAGTCACGAAGGGGTTAAAAACAAACTGGACTGGACATAAAAGGCCTACATTACTTCATGTGAGTCTTGTGGCTTCCACCCCGGGGACTGCACTGTGGGATAATTCCTCTCCTTCCTGCACCTGGGTCAAGTTTCTGCCCTTCATGGTTTTGTTTCAGAAGCTGTTGGTCTGTCACTCTTTGCTTAAGACCTTTTATACAGAGTGTCTCTAATTTTAGCTTTCCCTGTGACTCTGTGAGATCTGAATCTGGTTCCCTCTGTGCTTCAGAAACCACCATTTGAACCCATTTATAGACACTCCTCTCTCTACCCTTACCCACATAATAGTTTTCCTTGTAGCCATCACCTCTGAAAGATGAGTGACTGAACTGGCAGCAGGCATAAGGATAACTTAGTCTTCCGGATTCTCCTCGTAAAGGTGAACCAGCTTCTTATTCCACCATTTCTTGGTGGCTCAAACAGAACAGTATCCAAGCTTACGCTCAAGGATTGGGGTTCCACACTCTCCTGTTAAGGCACCTGTAAACTACATCTGGGCTATAAAAAAGAAGTAAAAAAAATTGTGCAAGACTTCAGTTGGTCTTAAAATTATATCCAGAGGAAATGCTTTCTGCCATGGTGTGGCAATGCTGCAGCACTGCACCTAAATTCAGAGCAGCGTTGCAATCATGTAGGTTATGCTGACTTACACTATTGTAGGATGAAAACATTTTGTAGGGGGTGTGGCTAGTAGCATTGTCATGCCTGAATAACTGGATTGGATACTTGTTTAGACTGTTACATAGGAGCCTTTTAGTTGGCCTTTTTATCAATGCAGCCTCCAGGTTGCATACGATCACTTTGTCAGAGTGGACATAGAAATCATATGATGGGAAAACCACTCTGATTTTTTTTCCCCCAATCATGACTCAGTACCCAGGTTGTCACTGACTCATGGGATTGAGAAGCAGAAGCTGCCCTTTACGCTGTCGCCATCCTGCAACTAGCTTTATAATGACTGTCCTGTCTTATCTACATACAGTCAGGGCTGAGGTGGGATTGATGGTGTCTTGACAGAATACACAGCACATTAGATACAATGTAATTTACAGGTTAGTGAAAACCTGGCTTGTTCCCTTTAGGTTGTGCCACTGTGCCAAATATCACTGAGTGCAGGTGCAGATGTCAGTTCTTGCAAAGAACTATTTCTTTATTCTTTATTCCTCCAGCTTCAGTTCTCCCTGGAACCCGCACCCATCGCTGTGAACTGCACGTCATTCAATCACAATGGCAACTTACTTGTGACCGGGGCTGCAGATGGAGTCATCAGATTGTTTGGTATGTTGTAAATGGCTTTCTATACACAACTGGCCCCATACATTGTACAATCTCCTTTTAGACTTGCCAACATCTATGTAGAATGAGGGATTACCTAATATAAAGGTAAGTCCTTGCACACCATAATTTATTGTAATTCTAAAGGTGATTGTACGATTGGAATGCAATGTGTGTGGCCAGCTTTATGAAACCATTGACAAAGGGAAGAAAACATTCTAAATGTGATTTGCATTTTAACTGGTCATATAAAACACACCCACATTTACAGCAATTTGTACAACATACTGTTAATGGAACTGTCGGGAACAGAGGATTAAAAATGAGGACTTTTTTTTTTTTTTTGGTCTGCTCTGGAACCTGAGCAATGTCTTAGCTTTCAGAAACTTTCCACTGTTCAGATTTTGTTAAAATATATATGCAGAGCCGAAATATATATTTTTTTTTTAGATAGAGTGGAGCGAAATCCAAATCTCCGTCAGGTTTTTCTTTGCTTCCTGTGTACCGTTGAGGAGTCTTCTCTTCACTTCCTGTCCTGGAAATGTAACTGGAAATAAGATGGAAATCTCTCCAAAGTTAGACATTCTTATTTCAGATATCATTCACGCAGTAAAATATGAACAATAAAGTACAAATTGGTTACAGGCACTATGTGGACGGTAGACAGAAAGTAAACGGGAAGAAATAGGAAGAGGGGGTAGAAAAAGACAGGGAAAAGAAAGAGGGGGCACCTACTTTGCCTCTCGTCACCTTTTTTTTTTTTTTAAGCACACACCACTGCAACGCAATGAGAACTGAGCCCATCTGGAACAATGCAAATTGCCTTGTCTTACATTGCAGCTGTGCTGGAAAAAATGTCCAGCGCAGACCCAACACCTTGGGTGACAATTAATGCAATGCATGTTAGCACGCAACATAACATGCATTAACACAGCAGACATGTCATAATGGGCCCTAATAGTTCTGGTGGACCGTATGTTGCAAACTTACTGTGATTGTCTGTGTTTCTCACCATAGACATGCAGCAGCATCAGTGTGCCATGAGCTGGAAGGCACACAAAGGGGAAGTTTATTCTGTTGACTTCAGCTATGATGAGAATGCCGTGTACAGCATTGGAGAGGACGGGAAGGTAAGTGTACAAGTAACAGCTGTGAGCGATACAGTTCATAATACAGAATTTGTGGCAGTACTTCCAATACATGTTTTATATTTTCACTTTGCCTTCCAGTTCATCCAGTGGGACATTCACAAGAGCGGCCAGAAAGTGTCGGAATACTCTCTGCCCCCTGACGCCACCGGCCCCTTCATGCTGTCCGGTTACAGCGGCTACAAGCAGGTCCAGTTTCCCCGCGGCAGGCTCTTTGCTTTTGACTCGGAAGGCAATTACATGCTTACCTGCTCGAGCCATGGAGGAGTTATCTATAAGGTGACGTCCCTGTTATCACATTGTCTCATTTGTGTTATCCTGGTGCTGCATGAGTCAGGATTGTCTTTTAATTAAATTTAGCCTGCGATGTTTAAGAATGAATTTCAGGATGATTATACATTTCCATTATAATCTTCTTTTTCTGATCAATCAAATCGCCCAAGAATTATATAAATCACTCTCAGCATTTTCGAGGTAAACATTTTTTTTATTTTCTCATCATGTCACTATAAGCTCCCCATCTTTTCATCAATGTCCAGCAGTCTACAGGAGGGATCTTCAATATGCCCCCCCACCCTAGATCTTGGGAAGCATAGTCAGAGATGTCCTCAAGTAACTGCCTACATAGCCTAGCAGGGCTGTCCTTAACTCTAGAGAAAACTGACATTTGCATATGCAAATGAAACATTGCCAGTCGTTAGTGCCGTTAGGAGAAGCTAGACTTTATCCAGCCTTAATTTGGCTACTCTGGTGCATATCATTGTGATTTCATTAACATACATAGTTCAGGCCTTGAGGAGAGGTGAGGCTTTCCCCCAAAAGGCATTGGCTGTGTCCGATATTCTTAACCAGTAAACATTTCAAAAGGACTTTTCAAGTGATGTGAACATTTGTACTAGGCACTCAACATATATCCGAGAGTTGATCGTCTTTGAGCAATTAGTTTATCGTGATTGGAGAGGTGGCAGCCTAGAACCAGAAGAAGGTCCACATACACCATACTTTCACTGTGGATCTGCATCCTACAAGGGAAATGCACTCCACTTGACATCCATTAGAACCATTTCCACTTTCATCAGTCCAGCACCATCATACATACATCAGATTTGCATCATGAAGTAATAACGTATGTGGGTGAGATAGACCGGGATCCCAAAACAGATCCACCCATCCCAGGCACCTATGATGTAAGGACAAATGCGGTGCCCTGGAAAGACAATACCAGGGCATTTATACAACTGATAGCACAGTTGAGGGGAAGATGATGCTGAGGATCGGTTCTATGGCTATAGATTACTCAAACCCTGTGGGTGCTATATTTCATGGTGGTTTATGCTGCTGCTGTTCCAAAGATCGATGGAGATTCCGTTTATAGTAGGGGTAAGATGCAATAAAATGCAGACTGGAGTACAGCTTTAAACTGACAGAGAAGAGAGAGTCTTTTGAGCCTTCTGATCAGTATTTGATGCAAGCGTACAAAGTATGCCTCAGGCAGTGGAGGGATTTAAAGTATGTCTAAAGCCAGAACTTTCTTTTTTTTTTTTTTAGATGCCTTTCTCCTCTTGGGGAGATTTCACTTCCTGTCCTGTAGACACAACAGGAAGTGAGAGAAAAACTCTCCAAAGTGAGGGAAATCCTCTTAGTTTTTGATGCAGCATGTGTGCCTATTAGATGATTTCATCTTTATTCCTTTTAGGGATGACAGTGGTCACCAGGACACCACCAGCGAGGGTGAATCTCTCTAAAAAAAAACACAACAGGGTTGCTAACACTTCCCAACTCCATTCAAAACTAACTGACTTTAGATACACAATGTAAATGTCTAAATCCTGGGTGCCCGATCTTGGCTGTGTCACAAATGTCTGACACAGATCAGCTTCTGCTGCAGCCTATCACATTGTGACTGGCTAGAAAGCTACAATATTGCAAGTTGATCACTGGGGGAGAGGAGACTGAGGACATGCTTCCTCCTGCCTGCAGCAGACTGATCAATGGGGGAGAGGAGACTGAGGACATGCTTCCTCCTGCCTGCAGCAGACTGATTATATAATCACAGGATAGGCACAGTGGACTGGAGCGCAAGGATAGCATTTTATTGATAAAAGGGGTGACTTTACTGTTGCTGTATATTGTGAGATGTCCGGAATCTTTTCATGCTGGTAAAGTTCCACAAAGGTCCCAATTTAGGTAAAATACTGATGAACGTGACATCTGAGCAGGTAGATTGGAAACTAATTCTTGCCATTTATTTTCTTTCCACTGCAGCTTAACAGTGACGGTAGTACACTAGAGAACTGCCTGTCTCTGGCTGGGCACCGGGCCCCCGTCGTCACGGTGGACTGGAGCACGGCGGTGGAGTGCGGCACTTGCCTAACAGCCTCAATGGATGGGAAAATCAGAGTGACGACTTTATTGGGCCAGAAATCCTAACTCGTCATCTCGCACCTTCTTTATTTGTATATCTGAGGAGGCTTATCAAGCCTGAGCCGCCATCCTAGCTAGAGAGCAGGACTTGTGGACATTTCTCGATGCATTCAATGTAGCAGCGCAGATCCAGACGTTGTACATTCCAGCATGGGCAGACATTCACCAGTATTATTGGACTTCGTGATTCAAATTGTCTGAAAGAAAGACTGTGTTCTTGTTGCCTATAGCAGCCAATCGCCTTTTTATTCTACCCTTTTGCAATAGTAATATGGAAGGGACAATGTGATTGGCTGCTGTGGGCTTAAAGAACAGGTTTTTGTTTTTTCTCTTTAGGTCCAACACATCTTAAATCGTTTAGCCGCAAGCAGGTTTGGACTATCGGTTCACCCAGTGTCTTATTTACGAACAAATGCTCCCCAAATTGCCAAATTTTATGTCAGTGGATAGTTTATAGGATAAACCCACCAATGTGCATATATAGTATTTTTGCCTTGGTAGAAGGCTGGACTGATTTCTTCTAGCTCAGTGGTGGGTTCCCAGTATGGCCCCTAGACAACTTGTTTCTGTTCCATAGAGTTCCCCTCTTGCCCCTGCTTACTACGTTTATTTCCACCGTGGACAGTGCAGCAGGAGGAGTGTGACTGTCAAAAGGGAGGCAGGGCCAGGAATCTTTCAGAAAAAGGTCTCCTCCACAATGTTCCTGGGACAGCTGTTGATTATTCAGCCCAGCGGCGTTAATCGGTACTGAAATGGCCATTGCAGGTAGAGTTCACATTTAAAGGGGACCCGTTTCTAAAAGTGGAGGTGTGTATGAGTAAGTATCCCTTCACTGGGGGTATGATAAATGAAGAGCCAACAGTTAGGACATGTGCAATATTCTGCATCACTAATGTGAATAATTTGCACAAGGCTTCCTCATCATTTCAGCCGCAGTCCTTGCAGTGAGCCAATCAGCAGGGCCCTTTGCCTCCATTTCTTCTCTAGCCTCTTTAAAGGAGAACCCTGGGAAAAATCACAAACTTATCCTTGTAGTGGGGCTGCACTGCAACGGGTGAGTGCTGGTTTTGTCGAAATAAAGGGATCCACGGTCCTGCAGTGGTCAGCGCTCCAGCTATGGACTGTGCCTCGGCATCCGCGCATCTAATGCAGGTCAGTGGACATGCATTAGACGTGATGACATCAGTATACTGAGGCTGCCACAGCTGGGCTGGATCCCGACATTACTGTTGAGATCCACCCAGCTGCGTGAGTGTGGGGGGGGGGGGATCCCTGCAGGGAGCCATGAGTGACAGTCACAGCTCTGTGCGGGGACAGGATCGAGAAGTGAGCGACGGTATGCTTTGGCTCACTTCCCGACGTCACCTGTCACACGTCGGCTCGAACTATGAGGGTGAGTGTTCTCCTTTAAAGTGGACTCATAATTGGACTTGTACATTAAACTACCATAACTGTGTGATAGGAGGAGTCTGGAGGTGTTGGCTTGTTCCGCTGACATCCCACAATGCATCACTTATAAGGACGCTGACATGCCCGCATTGCATTGTGGGAGGGGGCCTGAGCCCTTCATGTAGAACTAAGCATTGAGAGTTGCATACAGATGACAATCCAGCTCAGTTATAGCGGTTCTTGCTACACGTGCAAAGGGCAGTTTTGCTCTCTAAGGAATTTGGGAGGCAAGAATGATTAAACCGGCTGTACTGGACTTGTTTATAAGGTGCGAGCTCTGGCTCAGTACTCTCACAAGCTCTGTTTTCCTAATCTTACTTCCGCTTCCCTGGTACCCCATTTATACTGGGTGGGTGATGAGCACCAGAAGTAGAACCAGTGCCCTTTTGTAATCAGCAGTCAGTAGCAGACCTGGTTGGACACGCCCCCCTGTATTCCTCTGTATATTCTCAATGTAGCAGTGGTCAGCAGGACCAATAGGGTGAATCTCCCCAGTGAGGGCGGAGAGAGAAATAATAACCTGACAGGGACACCAACACTTCCTGTGGCTTTAGCTACACCTTATTCCATACCCCTTCCCGTGGCTTTAGCTACACTTTGCCAACACACAAATCTGCCCAATGTCCAAGACACATGAGATCTGGTGGCTATGGTTTGGATGTACGCCTTGGCACTGTCAGTGTTGCCTTTGTGTGCAGCAGACGGCAGGGGACTCTCTTCCATATAAATGCAAAGTCTTAAAGCACCCCAGCTGTGGTAAAACGACAACTCCCATCATGCTTCTGCCTCTGGGAGTTATGCCTGTATCTGTCAGAGCCTTGCAATTCCTCATGGGACTTGTCATTCCACCACAGCTGGCGTGTCAAGGTTGCCCATCCTAAGGCATCTCTCCTCCCTTCCCTTCTAGTGGAGAGCCCCTTTTAAATATGGTGCTTTTCTTCCTCTGACCAAACTGCCAGAAATATAATAAAATAGTGTTAGCAAATGTAGCAGCTAAAAGTTGTCATTTCCATCATTTTAGGTTCAGCTTTTTGGGCGGGGTTAGTTATAAATGGGTGGAGCCATCGCACACCTCCATCTAATTCTCAGAAAACCTCCAGGCCTGTGTCCAAGGGCACGCTGACACTTGTAGTTCCACGGCATTCATTTTTTTCTAACCACGCTCTCTTTCCACCTTCATGAAATGCAATATATTTCTAGATTTCTGCATTTGAAATTTTCTTTTAACGATATTCTGCAAAAGTGTTTTATTTAACGTTTTCCAAGGATTTGTTTTCTGCGTCATGAAATGATATTTTTCAGCACTTGCGTCATTCAATAATAACACGTTCTAACAATAAACTTGGCTGCTGCCTAGCCAGTGCTGACGTGTCTGTGATCCTTTCATGGGGGGTGATAATAGTGCCTTGCAGCACAGGGGTGCTGGGTTCAGCTCCCTCCATTCTCTGCATGGCTCGTCTCTTTTTGTTGGTGCTGGATACACGGGTCACAATATGAAGCGTAACTCTGCAAAATAAAAAATGACATCTATGATGCAGTCGGTAGCATTAGCACAGCAGTTTTCGTTTCTTATTACCAGTAGATTGATTGATTTATTTTTCCCTTTTAACAGGACAATCAGTTACAGGGCCATATAACACTGCTGGGGGTGCTTACAGTAGCATTTAGGACCCTTTCGCATCGTTTAGGGCCCATTCCTGCTAGTATGTTGCCTTAAAAAGAGCCCCCAGTGCACTAAGTGGGGGGGGGGGGGGGGGGGGGGGGGGGGGGGGGGGGGGGGGGGGGGGGGGGGGGGGGGGGGGGGGGGGGGGTTGCATAAAAACTGGAGCAGACCATTTTCTTATGGCAACCAATCAGCTTCTCTCTTCAGTTTGTTCCGTTTAGATTTGAAAGTGAAACAGAGAAGCTGATTGGTCGCCATGCACAGCTGCTCCAGGTTCTGTCTGCTCCAGTTTTTATGAATTCCCCCAATTTGTAGTAGACCCAGTGCACCCCGACACACATACCATGGGGAGAATTTATCAAAACTGGAGCAGACAAAATCTGGAGCAGCTGTGCATGGCAACCAATCAGCTTCTCTCTTCAGTTTGTTTAGTTAAGATTTGAAAATGATAGAAGCTGATTGGTTGATGGGCACAACTGCTCCAGATTTTGTCTGCACCCGTTTTGATAAATTCCCCTCCATGTGCTTTGGTTCTTCTGGGCTGTTAGGCACCGTTCACACCAGGGCGGATGCATTTCATTGCGCATTTTAAAAGGGCGTTTCCATTGAAATCTATATGGAATTTGCGCAAAAATAAGTAGCTTAGGGAGCATTTTGGGTGGCAGGCGGTTTGGATCGCGCAGAGCCACACGATCACATGAATGGTCCCCATAGGAATGTATGGGGTTGTTCATGTTGGCAGCTCAGCGCTGACAAATCCGTGCAACAGAACCGCCCTGGTGTGAACGGGGGCCTTAAGGTGCTTTGTCAGCCTATTCAATAATTGCAATGGACCATAGGAATAAAAACTGACCTTTGTGTGTACCCTGCGCTGTGCTATGGTTTGTCCCAACCACTGTCACGGTTGCTGGACAGGTTGACCTCCATGTAGAGATGTATGTGTACATAAAGGCCTGTCAAGATAGAAAGAGCGCATATATTGGGGGGATTTATCAAAACTGGAGAAGTTTTCCATAGTAACCAATCAGCTGTTCTCTTTAGTTTGTTTAGATCAGCTTTGAAAGATGGCAGCTGATTGGTTGCCATGGGCAGGTGCTCCAGATTTTGTCTTCTCTGGTTTTGTTAAATCAACCTTTCTGTTTCTTTTGCTGAATTCTGAGCCGCCTTCCCACCAACATGCAGCAGCACCACCAAAGATGTTCAGACGTAGCTAATGATAGTGTGCGAAATCTGAATAGTGCACGACTTGGCGCTTTTACCATTTTATTTAGGGGGGGAGGGGGGGTGTTGTAGGTTGTATAGACCTATAGATAAAACAGGGAGCCATTGCTATAAGTAAGGCAGACACAGTGCAGAGCATTCCTGAATGAGAAGACACATTATTAGCCTGACTGAGATCTGCAATTACAACCTTTCCTTGAATAACCAACAGCGCCACCTGCCGTCCAACTGGTTAGTTGCAGGCTCAACCTTTTCTCGGTGGTACGGCTAGTCCTCCCAGAATCCACTGCGCCGCCCAAGACAGGAGGGGGCGTGTCAGGAATGCGGAAGTGGCTGTGTGCAGGTGAGGGGAACACGTGGGCTGAGCTGGGTGGAAGGATGATCGGATGATGCTGCACTGATAAAACTAAACTGACGATGAAGGGGTTCATGTTTATACTTCCTATGTGGTTAGGAAGTGGACCTGTCACGTATCACGGTCACACCCCTCCCCTCCTTCAGGATCGAATTGCAGTTACATTACCCCAGTGTCGCAGGGGGTCATTGTATTGACCTGCTGCTGCTCATTGCCGTGATAAAAAAAATCAAAGGAAAATTCTAACAATGTGGTTTTTGTTCAGGAAACCCCATTTATTCTAAACTCGAATGTTAAAGTTAAATGAAATGTCAAAATCAATTTTGAAATCGAGTTTTTGATGGCGTATGGGCAGCCTCTGCCCGCACTCACACCTGAGCTAGACGCGCACAAAACTGCACACTTTGGCGTGCGTTGACAGAAACACTGCAAAACACCCTCGCGTTGCCATTAGTTTCTAATAGCACCCCACATGTAGCCAGGGAGACGCGCATTTTTCCTCCTCATTTGCACGCATTACAACACACAAACACGGAAGCCAAAAACGGAACGCGTGTCGCAAACTTTGCTACGTGAGCTTTTTTGTCTGAACTCAGTGGGGATGTGCAGCAGACGTAGAGGAAATAGTCACCCACACACCAAGGTCCAATGCATCAATACATCCTTTTATTGACGGCGGATACACAAGTATGAGCAATGTTTTGGAACCTATTGAGGTCCCTTCATTAGGCAAATAACAGTGACAACCATTGTTTACATAGTGCCAAACCATCTAAAAACAGGTACCACCTGTGCACCGAAAGCAGCACACGTGTGTATGTTCCTGGAACGCTTTGGTGTGAATTCGGGCTTGTAGTTTAAACTTTTTTGATATTGAAAATATATATATATTTTCAATATCAGTACATTACAAGGTCATTGTACATCTTGCACATAGGTGGGATTTGACTTCACAAAGGGGACCTGCTCACCAAAAACACTGTCCATCCTATCACCCGGTGTTCTGCTTAGGACACTTATCTTTATTCTCTGCCATGTGACTGTCATTTTCAAATCTCATTGGACTCAACTGAAAACTGTCATGTTTCTAAAAATAAGTGTCCTCATTCTTGTTAGCTTTGTGAATTGATCCTTTGATCCTGTGAATTGAGCAGAGCAGTTACAGACCGAATCAAAACTGCGTCCAATGTATTCCAATGGTATTTTTTGCTCCAGTTCACATCGCAGCGTGCAGTTCCAGAGCAGGTGAAAAAACTGCAGCAAGCCCTATTTTACCTGCTCTGGATCTGCTCTGGAACGCATGCAAACACATCAAAAACGCATGCAAATGCCTGGAACGCACTGAAAGCCCATGTTAAACTGCAAACGGCCCATAAAAAACTCAGCACAACCCACTGCACTGCGTGTGCAGAAACCTGAGCAGATCTGCTCTGCATTTGGTGTAAACAAGGCCTTAAAGAAGAACTCAGGGCATTTTAAAAAGTTCCCTTGCTATGGGGCCACCCCTGTATTGCAAGGGTTAAGGGCTAGTTCACATCTGGCCTGAACGCACTGGATTGCATCCCAGCCGGCTCACTTTGTTTTGGGGCGGGAGGGGGCGTGGTAGTGCATTAAACGCAATAGTAACGAAGCCACGCCTTCTGGCCGCAGCCACGCCCGGACCGGAACGCAGGCATTGATGTGCTACGTGCGGCCGATCGCACTGCAGCCAGGGGGCGTGGCTGCATTGCTATTGAGTTAATTGCAACGCCACACCCCCTTCTCAAAACAAAGTGAGCTGGCCGGAATGCGATCCAGTGAGTTCCGTCCCGATTCTGCCTGGTGTGAACTAGCCCTAAGTGCTCCTTTTCCCCTAGGAGATGGAATAAAACAGATATAATCACCTGATCCCACAGTAGTCGGCGCTCCCATGTCTGTCCCTCTGCTCCAGCTATGGAATGCTATCGGCATCCTCACGTCTAATGCAAATCAATGGAGCTGCATTAGACGTAATGGTGTCAGCGGTCCTTAGACCTCCAGAGCCCAGGAGAGAAGAGGCTGTGAGGACCGATCTAGCAGCTTGGTGGGATTGAGGATCAGGGGAGTATATCTGCTTTATTTCATCCCCTACAGAAAAACAAGCACTTAAGCCTTGGAGTGAGGGGGTCGCCCAACTCCAAGGGAAAGGTTTATAAAATTCCCGGATTTCTTCTTTAAATCTTGTACAAGTTCAAACATGTTAATGTCATTTCAAAAGTTGTATTTAATCCTTTCGAAATAAGTAATCCCTGGTGAATTTTCCATGAAGGTCGTTGTTCAGGCACTTCCTATTATGAGGTGACAACTGTCTCCTTATTGTACTCCTGTGTTGTCATCCTGGTGGAGACTACAAGCTGTCATGCCAAAACGCATTGCACAGGCATGGTCCACCATTGTCACTACCAGCAAGCCGGTGTAGAGCAATGGTGTGCAGCTGACGTTGGAGTGAGTGCATGTAGACAGGAAGTAGCTGAGTGAGGCTGGAGGAGATCAGCAGCACTGAGATGCAACATAGGAGGTAAAAATAGGTGAAAATAGTATTTTATATTAAATTCAAATGACAATGATTTATGATACTCGGTGCTTTAGCAAACTAAATGTCATCCAGTTGATGGTTTACATCTACTTAAAGTGCAATGTAACAACTGCAAAACACTGAATGCCTGTCGTATGTGAATGACCCAGTGTGATGGAAGGCGATGAGTCCAAGGCGAAGAAGAGGGTCCTACCGCAGTGGATGACGGAAGATAAAGCAGATGCAAAGAAACCATTTATGAGAGAGGTGAAGAGAAAGAAGGGCGGGTAAGACTTGACGTGACACTTTCTGGACCAATCACCGTGTAGAGTAAAGGGTACCTGTGACTTCGGAAACAGTTGTGTAAAGGAAGAGGGTTTGGAAGCATGTCAACCCCCAGTTAGTATGACGATGTTAGTATATCTATTAGAAGAGTGATATCAAGCCTCCCTCCCAAATTATTATTCATCATGCAGAACCATTTGGCCCCAGCTCACCTGCAGTTGTGGCAGCTCTAGGAGGTTGGGTTGTAGGAGAGTTAGGTGACACTTGAGGAGCTGCAGGAATATGGTATGGAGAAAAGAACTGAAAGGAGAACGGGTGTCACATCCACATGGTAAGCCTTCCATCACTTTCTCCTTCCTGTCATTCTGAGGCTTTATTTCTCACCCAGAACAACTGCTCAGCCTCTTCATGCAGACCAAAATAAGCAGTTAACCCTTGCAGTACGAGGGATATCTGCTTTAAGTGGTAGCTCTGAGTCTGATGAGAATAAATCAAAGATGGCGTCTCCAGCAGCAGTCTCAGTGCTTTTGTATGCCTACCTAAGGGAATTCTTTTCAGATAAATAACATATATAAAGCAGTTGAATTCACATGTACTCTTATGGGAAAATAGTTGAAACAATGGTCTGGTGACAGGGTGTCTCTGAAGGGCAGAATGTGTTCTTTTGTATGTGTGACACTGCAGAAGCAGAGGGTTTAAAATGGGTTTCAAAAAATAATAACAAAGTATATTTTATTTTTATATACGTATATATTTAGATCACCCAGGAAGTGTACGGTTTACTGTATGAATGAAAAAGAACTGGTTGACTGCGCACTTGAGATCTTAAGCAAGGTAAGCGGTTTGTAATCAATGTAACATCCAATAAATCAAATGTCTGTTCCAGACCAGACTGCTTTTCTTATTTTTTCTGGCCTGGAACGCATAAAAACGCACTGGAATGCACCTGTAAGACCATTTTAAGCTAAAAAAAGAAATACATTTCCAAATGTGGTAAAAACGCAGCACAATGCAATTCAATGTGTTCCAGATCTGGTCCAGAGAATGGTGTGAACCCGCCCTTGAGGGAGGCTGGAGTAAGGTCTGGAACTTGAGCCTAAAGTAACTTTGTCACCACTAAAATATTGAAAAAAACTGAATCCTGCAAAGGAAGGTGACTAAAGCTTAAACTCTGTGCTACCCCCTGGCCTCCTTAATTCCCCCAACCAGTAGTATGTTACACTTCTAATGTCCTCCAGCCGGTCATGTGACACGGTGGATCTTCTTTCTCTTGGTGATGGGTGGTCCTGGATGATTCGAGTGACGCTGATGTGATATCAGTGTTGGTTTCTGCAGTAATACATTGTGAGTGCAGAGCATACAGTTACACTATATGCTCTCTCAGTGTATTCCTGCAGAAAGCGACCTTGATATCACATCAGCGTCGCTCTCCTTATCATCCAGGGCCACCCACAGTCAAAAGAAGAGTAGTGATGTAGAGGCCAATCAGTTTTTGGGTTTTATTGACGCTGGGCTTTATTTAACCAAAATAATGAGGACCTCTTTAGAGCAAGGTACTATGGGCAACAGCTCCAGATCAAAGGTGAGCCAACGCTGGGGGTTTTAACCTCCAGGAGGAACATTTTGGAAAAAAATGAGCCCGAAGTTGGGTTTTGATACTTACCCCAGGTGGTGATTACCATCCTCACTCTCTTGAAGAACTACAGAGACTGAAGAATCTTCTGCATGTTGTAGATCCCTGCTCCCCTTCTGTGCACTATGGTTCCTTCCACTAAACAGAGTAGTGGATGGAACCACAGGAAGCAGCTGGAGACCAAGTATCCATCCACGTGCCGAAGTGTGCCGGATACATTTCTTTAGCCATGGTAGAGCTTCACGAGAACAAGGATGGAAGTCACCATTTTCCAGTGAGGTTTTTTTAACTTTCTTAGGGGCGATTAAAAAATAGAAAGAATGAAGATGTCTTGGAAACCATAAATTGTGTCTAATAGCCGACAGCTAGAAAACAAATGTCACGCTGCCTTCATGCCCACTGTAATTCTGTTTCTCTTTTAGAGTATAAAGGAGCAGGACCACGAGGTGGAATCTGAAGCTGCTGTAGAAGACTATAGGGGAGAATCCTGCAAAGACAGAGACGAGGAGCCTCAAACTGCTCCAGAGGCATCCCGCAGCCCAAAACGGACATCATCACCTCCTAAAGACTTAGCAAGCAATACTGCCGGGGCTGAGAGTCTGTCTGACGAAGAGGATGACCCCTTAAAATATGTCAGAGAGATCTTTTTCAGCTGAGTAGCATTGTACATGTGGCTGACCTTCTAATCCAGGTTGTTACCACTGTATAAAAGTGACAACAGAACAGAAGCTCTAACGTGGATTGGATTTAATGATAAGTCCTGATGTGTGATGGGGTATTATGTAACAAATATGAAATGTCTCAGGACCAGAGACCGGTCCATGGACTTCATATTTTCAGCAAGAGGTTCACATGGCACTAGGGCCCCTAGATGGAGCTGATGAGTCTAGGAAATTCCTATACTTGTTTTTGCCTACGTGCAAAAACAAAAATTGCGGCACACAAGTTACATGTCGCCGCGAGCGTCGGAGTGTGAGCAATAATTCTGGGCCCATCAATCACTGATAGCTCTAAACTGATGAGCTGTAAAAGCGTTTAAAGCGTCGCCAATGGGAAATTTTGCTTATTGTAGTTTTTTGCGGTTTCATGGACGCACGCAATTTTGAGGCTTGGCATGTTTGGTATCAATTTACCCGGCTTGTCGCCGTCTTTTATATTATACCAAAACATTGGGCATTATATTTTGTTTCTGTGCACTAAATTTCATTTTAATGTAGTTTATCCTAAAACTACTGGTTTGATAAACATTTGTGCAAATACCGTGGAACAAAAAAAATTGCAACTGGCATCTTTTTTATTCTACAGGCCTCGGCTTTCAGAAAATATATCATTGTTTGGGGGTCTGTTTTCTAGCCAAAAAGTCTGATTTTATCATGTGCATGCAAATGTAAGAAATTGCTCTGGGCAGCAAGTGGTTAAAACTGCTGGTGGCCAGAATCCTCTTTTTATATCACATGCATGTTTTACATGAATGGAGAGAGGAGGAGGAGGAGCAATGCAGCCAAGTTAAAAATAAAACCGCCGACACTGGAATTCTACAGGACACACCCATGAACAGAAGTTATTTTCGGTTCACTTTCTCGGAAATGTTTTCACTTCTTTAAAGCTGCTATCCAAGAACTCACCACACGGCCTAGATTCTATGTAATTCTAGCTGGTTTAACATGCAGGGTTCTTATTAACTGGGACCAAGCTTTGTCTCTCTGACAAAACATGGTGAAATCAACAACAAAAAAGAACATTTAAAGCGTCAGTGTTAGAAGATATTAGGGCCGATGCAAATAAAATGATTTCTTTGAAGGAACAGCCATGAGAATTGATGGACATAAAAGCAACAGACAAGTGTACAGGGCAGCAGTATTATTTGATAGGTCTGGGTCAGACATCAGACATCATAACTTTAAGCCTTACCTAAGTGCCAGTACTGAGTAGTAGAGGTACAGAACCATCAGGTGGAAACGTTAACTGGAAAACAAGTATACCATAAAAGGACCTTATGTCTGAGATAAGAACCCTGCTAGATATAGGGTTGCCACCTGTCCGGGATTCACACGGTTTTTGAGTCTTGTGTCCGATACCCACACATCTCCTCCTCAGTCTTCCTGACACCACGCTGCCTGCCCCTGGTGAGACACCGGACAGCCTGCACAGCCCTCCTGAAAGCCTGCATAGCCTACCTGAGAGCCAGCATAGCCCATCTGAGACCCCACACAGCCACCTGAGAGCCCACATAGCCCACCTGAGAGTGCACATAGCCACCTGAGACCCCACACAGCCACATGAGAGCCCACATAGCCCACCTGAAAGTGCACATAGCAAACTGAGACCCCACACAGCCACCTGAGAGCCCGCATGAGACCCCAGACAGCCACCTCACAGTCTGCATAGCCCACCTGAGAGTGCACATAGCCATCTGAGAGCCCACACAGCCACCTCAGAGTATGCATAGCCACCTGAGAGTCCGCATAGCCTACCTTAGAGTGTGCATAGCCTACCTGAGAGTCTGCACAGCCACCTGAGAGTCCGCATAGCCCACCTGAGAGTCCGCACAGCCACCTGAGAGCCCGCATAGCCCACCTGAGAGTCCGCATAGCCCACCTGAGAGCCCGCATATCCTCCTGAGAGTTCACCTGCTAGCTCACACACCCTTGGTGAGAGCCCACACAGGCCACCTGAGACCCTGGAGACATCGGGGCGCCACCTTGGAACAACATAGAGTATGTAGCTTCATATTATTTTGTATTGCTGTATAATGTGTTGCTGGGATTTGTAGTCCCCTATAGCCGGTCTCCTTACTCCCTGCCCTGGCTGTCTCTTCTTGCTCTTTTTCCTCGCTGGCTCTCCTCGCTCTCTCCTCTATAGTCTCCAAAACAAATTACAGTGCGGCGCTAGAGTGTTTGGGTTTCACTTAAAAAAAGGTGGCAAACCTACCAGGACACCACAACCAGTTATAGTCTCCCTTTCATTTCCTGCAGACAGCGAGGGAAGATTTTTACCGGTTGATGTGGGCAGCCAGAGATAGTTCTTGCTTCAGACGCTTTGATACATGGCGGCCAAGAATTTATGGATGCATCACACAGGTGTTACTGGTAGGAAACAAATATAGTGAAAATCGGCATAACAACAGTGAGAGCCATGTGTATCAAAGCGTTCCTACCAAGAATTGGAGAACAGTCACCGATCAGCACGGTGTCAGATTGTAATCTCAGGGGAAATGAAACCAGTTCTTAGTAGGAATACCTTGATGCATGGAGTGTCAGTATAGCTGAAGGTGTAACATTTTCTTCCCTAAATGCTAACAGTATTATCTATTACACAGCGTTATGCTTCATCATTTACTGATATGATACCTATTAAAAGGAGTTCATGATTTGCACATTTTCATTTGAAAGGTTGCAAATTATACATTAAACTGGGGGAAAAAAAACCTAGCTTGGACTCGGATCGCGACCCCCCTGTTCACTTGCGGGACCCCATATGGGGTCGCGACCCACACTTTAAGAAGCACTGATTTAGATAATGTCTTCAATGCTCTAATAATAAAGTAGATCCAAATCCTAACTGGATAATATTTAGTAAAACATTTGTTTATGATAAACAACTGGCATGTTTTCATCATAAAATGCGGTTATTTCCCCTTTTTCGGTTTGTTTTTTTTCCTTTTAAGCCCTGGTTCACACCTAGGCGTTTTTGAGCAGTTCGAAAAGCGCTTTGACTGCCCAACACAAGAAATGCCATCATTTTCAATGGCCTTGGTTCACACCTGAGCAGAAAAACGCCAGACGCCTGAAAAAATACAGGAGCTTCTTTGGGCAGTTGAAAGCGCTTTTCCTCGCCATAGACCTAATTGGAAATGCCCAAAAACGCGCAACAGAAGCATGTTGCTCATTTTTGGGAGCGTTTTTGCGCGTTTTTTTATTTAATTCCTATTTACAAGTTTCTAAACACTGTGGTGCGGTGAGGTGCGATTGCAGAGAAAAGTGCAGGCACTATTTTTTGCAATTGCACCGCACTGATGGCACTGCTGTGCCACATGTTCTGGTGCAGCCAATAACACTGTGGGGCAAGAGATGTGGCTACGGTGCCATTGACTTGAATGCACCATCGCGCCCCCTCTCGCCCCAGAACGCAGGTAGACTTCCTCAATGCGATCCAATGCGACTAACTGTACTGGAACGCACTGGTTTTCTAATAAACGATACAGTTGTTGCATTGCGTGGGATGTCAGGAATTTATTCATGCAGGCTTGCAAAGTTGCCCGTAAAAAGACCTGATCCCGGAAGAGACAGGTGCTGTGTGTAATTGTGCTCAGCAGCATGTTCTTCTCTATGGGAGGACACAGCTGCACACAATTATATGCTGTCACACACACCCACACACCTGAACCTGCACATCCGTGTGGGTTGGGGTGCCCACACTTGGAGGCAGACCGTGTGCATCCAAGTGCAGGCACCCGCACCCTCCCAGGACTGAATCTTTTTACAGGTGCGCATGCAAAATCAGACATGTACACCCATCTGAATGAACCCTAAAGGTGCCCATACACCTTACGATTATCGGACGAAACTTTTCGTCCGATGATCGAATAGTCGTACGATTTTCGTACGGCAGCCCCATCCTGCCCGGATGATCGCAAGATTAATTTAGCCGTAATTAACGAAAAGCTTTTTATTTAATTCCTATTTACAAGTTTCTAAACACTGTGGTGCGGTGAGGTGCGATTGCAGAGAAAAGTGCAGGCACTATTTTTTGCAATTGCACCGCACTGATGGCACTGCTGTGCCACATGTTCTGGTGCAGCCAATAACACTGTGGGGCAAGAGATGTGGCTACGGTGCCATTGACTTGAATGCACCATCGCGCCCCCTCTCGCCCCAGAACGCAGGTAGACTTCCTCAATGCGATCCAATGCGACTAACTGTACTGGAACGCACTGGTTTTCTAATAAACGATACAGTTGTTGCATTGCGTGGGATGTCAGGAATTTATTCATGCAGGCTTGCAAAGTTGCCCGTAAAAAGACCTGATCCCGGAAGAGACAGGTGCTGTGTGTAATTGTGCTCAGCAGCATGTTCTTCTCTATGGGAGGACACAGCTGCACACAATTATATGCTGTCACACACACCCACACACCTGAACCTGCACATCCGTGTGGGTTGGGGTGCCCACACTTGGAGGCAGACCGTGTGCATCCAAGTGCAGGCACCCGCACCCTCCCAGGACTGAATCTTTTTACAGGTGCGCATGCAAAATCAGACATGTACACCCATCTGAATGAACCCTAAAGGTGCCCATACACCTTACGATTATCGGACGAAACTTTTCGTCCGATGATCGAATAGTCGTACGATTTTCGTACGGCAGCCCCATCCTGCCCGGATGATCGCAAGATTAATTTAGCCGTAATTAACGAAAAGCACCTGGACGAAATGCGGTAATTGATTTGCCGTATTTACGTTAGCGCAAGCGCAGTGTAGATTGTACGACTTTTGATGGACGGAAACGCCAGCAACCTTACGACATTTGTACGATATAGCAAAGTTTTCAAACATGCTTGACTGTCAAAAGTCGTACGATTGTACAGTAATGTCGGCCGGACACTGCAATGCACACATACGATTATTGGCCGAAAAGTCGATGGCATATGAAAATCGTACAATAATCGTAAGGTGTATGGGCACCTTTAGAGTGTATGTGTAG